AATTTTTGAGGCGAAATACCCAAAAAGAAGTTTGTAAAAAATGAATCCACCTCAACAATATAGAACTTATCTATAATCTATGTTCTTGGGAAATTACTTTCAGGAAATTAACGTACATTTTCATAACTAAACACACGTGTTTCATCGGATATTCGTGTTACGGTGGTAAAGCGATCCCACCTGAAGAGGCTCCTAATTAAAAAGGAGGCCTTTCAAAGTGTGTTTACTACTAAGAATGGGGTGCACCATCAGACAATCTGGCCAGGGATTGTGTTTCACTTTGTCTTGTTCATTCACCAGCGAAAATATCTTTTACATTTCAGGTCTCAGCTCACCAACGGCTCTCTCTACATAAACAGTGTGGTAGAAGGCCAAAGACTGACGGGAATTTACCAATGTATGGCCACATTGCCGAATGTGGGATCAATAGTTAGTAGGACCGCAAAACTTGATATCGCCAGTAAGTCTGCAGTTTCATAATTGACTTTTGAAGAAAATTAAAGAACAATTTGAAACTGGAGAGTTTTTCGTGTTTTCACACCCGAAAAATTCCCGTAAATGATCCATCATGAGTTTGACCTTTGCGACCATTGCCCAAAACTGGCGAGTTTTTCGGGCTTTTGATATAATTTCTTTGCCACTACTAGGCCCTTAAGAGCCCGAAAACTTCCCCAGTAAAATGTGTTGGCAACAAGTCCAGTTATGAGGCATCTTTAGTGTTCGCAATTAAAATAAATTTAAAGACAAAGAGACCCTGTTGATGAACCCACCTTGTATGTCTTGAAATCGGGCCTCTCTAGAACAATGTCCGGAAATATGGAATGTAATATTTTATTAATAGCGTGTAACAGTGCTTTAGGTCTTATCGTTGATTTATTGCTCATTACTCGCTTCGCTTGACTTTTGCTTCAGTGTAAACACTTTTTGATAGATCGCGGTTTTTTTTGTTTAATTTTAAATTATTTAGCAACTTTTCTTATCACTGTTTTTGCTCTATTTTTGAGCTGCTGACTGCTGTTGTTTTACGGAGGGCAAATGAGTTGATAGTGCAAACGTTAGTCATCTAACCGTTTTTGTCACACTCTTTCGGGCAGAACCTTGAACGGACGCAAATAAAATCATTTTCTAAAGTTTGCCAACCAAAGCATCAGCTCATTTAAATCCTGTGGACGACTCTAGACACGCAATTTATGTGCCGGTTTGTTCAACTGTAGCGATCCGAATTTTCGGGCATTAACTCGCACAAATATTAGTAAATTTGTTTTGTGAAACACCCTGTTTGCAAGGGCGGATCCAGGGGAGGGGGTCATGGGGGTGATGACTGACCCCCCCATTCAATTCTCTATCCAACGATGCCAAAACGAATTCTCTGGCTCGAATGGTTCTTGAGAAACTTCGAAAAAAGCAGCGC